GCTTAGAGCTTCCGTGTTATTACAGTGTTCATTCCAAATTCCACTATAATGCATTCATCTTATGACAGACAAACACTTAGGTGGTGGAAGACGTCTGTAGCCACAGTTGCCCTGGGCCAGACTAACTGAAGAGTTATAGTTAGCTATATGAAAAGCTAGATAGATGAAAAGTATGAAGTAGTCAAATACAGTGTGAGTGAAAAGCAAAAAGAGCAAAATGTGACTACACAGCTCTCTTATTGACATACTGTGTAAAATAAATAAATAAATAAATAAAATTAGAATAGTTGAGGGAAAATAATAAAAAGTGTCCCAAAAATATCAGTAGAGCTTATTTGCATATGTTGCTCTGGATTCTAAACAATCTGTATTAAAAAAAAAAACATTCAGAGTCATTTGAAATAGCTTATTTGCTTCTTTATTTACAATTCAGGACCTGTGAGTCGTGCCTTAACTCATTTAGGCCACTTACAGTATCTGGAAACAAGTCAAGATACTTACAAGTCAAGGTGACTTACTGCCACCACTTAAACCACCTCCTCCTCTTCTTCTTGTTTTTCATGTCCACTTCAGCTTGGAGCTCCTCCGCTATTACTTTGATCTGCTGCAGCTGATCATCTAACCTGTTCAGGGACAGCTGCAGCTCTTCACATCTGTGGAGGGCAGAGGTTTTCTTGTCCTCACTGTGTTTCAAAGCCGTGTTCAGCTCCTTGATAGTTTTCTGGTGGAGTAAGTTCTCCTCCACTGTGGCCTTGCGGATGAAGTGACATTTTTCTACCACACCTATAAAACTCATTTTCTGTGAGTCCAAGTCATTTTGTAATTTTTGAACTTTGTTGCGCTCAGTGTTCAGGCTCTCCTCCTGTGCCTTGTTGAGGGCCTCTTCAGCTGTCCGCTCCTGCTCAGCGAGAGCAGACTCTAGAGTGAGGACCTGTTTGTTCCAGGTCTCCTCAGCTGTCCACATCTCTACTGCAAATGTAGACTCCACGGCAAGATGCTGCTTGTTGAGGGCCTCTTTAGCAGAGTGTCTCTCTGCTGCAAGGGTAGACTTAAGATGGAGAACTTGTGCATTTAGGGCCTCTTCAGCTGACCGTGTCTGCTCAACGAGGGCAGACTCCAAGGCAGTGACCTTCCTCTGCAGAGCTAGCTTCTCCTTGTATGACTCCTGGAGCTCATGTTGGGTGCTGACCAGAAGCTTCTCTTTGGTCTCCCCCTTCTCAGTGGCCTCTTACAGAGTAGTCTTCAGTGCCCTATTCTCTTGTTTACACTGTTCTAGTTTCTCTATCATTGTTTCCTTTTCCTCTCTAGCTTCACTCAGCTGTTTTTGGAGCTCCTCAAAATTCTCCTTGAGGGCTTCTTTCTGCTGGACCACCTGCTCTAACTCCCTCAGTCTCCATGTCTGTTTAAGGCTGACGTGGAGTTGTTCTTGGTGGGCTCTTTGGATCTCCTTAAGAGTAGTCTTCAGCTCCCTGTTCTCTTGTTTACACTCTTCTAGTTTCTGTGTGTTCTTCATACTGGCCACCTTCAAGTTCTCTATGGTGTTGTGGGCATACTTTAGCTCCTCAAAGACACCAGAGTCGTAGTAGTGGCTGTTTGCGTTCTGCATTTTCAGTTGTTCTTCGAGCTGCTTTACCTTCTCTTGGTTTATGAGGGCGAGACTCTGCTGCTCTTGGGAGAACCTCTTTACATTCTCGTTCTCCTTGTAGAGGCTCCGTCTGTCTACCCTGCTCTAACATTAGCTCTGTCTCCTTGTCTTTCTGTCTGAGGAGATTTTTCCCAAATTCTATCATTGTTTCCTTTTCTTCTCTAGCTTCACTCAGCTGTTTCTGGAGCTCCTCAAAATTCTTCTTGAGAGCTTCTTTCTGCTGGACCTCCTGCTCTAACTCCCTCAGTCTCCTTGTCTGTTTAACGTTGACAGTACGAACCGAACCGTGAATTTTGTGAACCGTGCCACCCCTAGTATCAAGCTAAGCTGCTATTCATTGAAATAATTTTTGTCTATTGAGAAACTGAAAGAGATGCATAAAAAGCTGGTTATTAATTGTCAGAAAATTGCTATTATTAACTGTATTTAGCATCACCATTGGTTTAACATTATACACTCCAAGCTCTAGAGCAAGACGCCAAAACTACGATCAAATTCCTGTCGAAACTTATTGTCAAAGCCAAACCCCATATTGTATTGTGGCATAACCAAAGAAGAGGCTCAAAAGTTTTGTGTTTTAATATTGCATGTCTTGTGTGCAAAATGTCCCTGTTTTTGAGATATTGCATAATACATTCCTCAACTCTCTGTCCAATACTTTCCCTTCTCCTTTGCGCTCTTCTGTACTTCCTGACCTCAGTTGAATAAAATCATTGTGTTATTGACAGCTTCGAATATTCGTAGAAGTACATGACACCACTAGCCACTCGGTCTGACCCTCTCTGATTTACTACACTGGGCTGGCTTGTTCTGGCACAATAACGCCTTCATTAATCGATTGAATGAGGTCTTTTTGCTCAGTGACAGTGGACGGACATGAAGATTATAGACCGTAGCTCAAACAGATGTTGGCAATCAGCAGAAGGCAGCGAGAGGCGAGCACAGAGCAGACTTATGTAATGTCTGGAGCCGTATCACTCCACATCTGTTATGGATTCACCACAAGGCAGCATCAACTGTCTGTAAACAGTTGAGGTGGGGGAATAGTTTTGGGATGCATGGTATGAAGTCATGGATTTGTTTACAAAAAGTAGAAAAAGTGAAGAATCGTAAGTTCTACAAGTCTGAAACATTGTGAGATCTTGGACTGTATAAAGTAAAGGAGTGTGTCATTACCCATAGCATTCAGTTCCAGTCAAATAAAGCTCACAAGGCTAGCGGTTATAGGCCCAATGTGGAGCAGAGTTCCATATTAGGAATAAGGACATAATAGCGAAATAAAAACATCAGGATCATGAAGAGTGGGTTAGTATAGACATTTAAAGACCCAAATGATGAAACTCACAGCAGCAGTTACAGAGAGAGGGGCAATGTTTTCCAATACAAAGTGAATAGGAGCCAGAGTAGATTGAGCTGGAAGTGTGCCCAGTGCTCACTTCTTTTTTGAAATGGGGCGGCCAGCAGGCTAGCCATGTCCATGTATATACAGTTAATATGTAGGACAGACTGGGAAAAACATGGGAACACAGAGACTGGAACAGCTTGGAATAAATATCAATGTTGGATATCAGCCCTAAATTTTCAATGTCAAATAAATAATACTATGATAAAGTGAAAATCCTCAGATATCATCAATGCCAATATTGGAACCAATATATTGCCCGTTCTTCTTAACTGTACTAGAAGCAAATAGAAGCTGTGGCAGTGAAATAACAGCTGCAATAGGGGCCTGAGGTTGATCTGCTTGTCCAGGCACATAGAGAACAAACTGTTGCATAGTAGTTGTGGCCTACATTTTAGTTTAGAGCAGCATTGAGGAGCTTAGTGCTAACATAAGGGGCTTTACTACAACTGTATGGTCGCTACTAGCAACCTAATGTTATTACTGCAACACTGAGATGAGTGTTGGACAAGTAGGAGTTCTTGAGGAATTGGTGAAGTTCAAGTTGGCTCTTGTAAAAGTTTCCTCCAGCTATTTAATTTTAAGTGTCGTAAGTATCCCTATTGTCTAGTATTTTTAGCTTATTTTAAATTTTATTTGCAGTTTAAGCAAGCTATTATCCAAAATCTTTTCAGAGCTTTTAACCATGTTATAGTTGTTCCCCTTCTCATTTACCCTCTCAAAGCTGTATGTGGTATGATTCGGGCATGCTTGAGTAATAATCTTCAGTCGTTTATCTTCAAGACGCCATATTGCCGATCAACCCTCGTTTTTACCGCCACCAGCATAGGTCCACTGCACATCCATTTTTATTTTCTTAATTACTGATAGGAGTAAGATTCGACAGCCAGGCCTAGTCATTTTGGTACAAATGGAAAAAAAAATAATTAAAATCCACTACTCGCTGGGTTGATCTGCAGGTATCCGTTCGCCAACTCCACTTTCATGATATTTTGCAAAATAAAACAAGAAACTAAGACTTGAAACAGCATTGGAAATGGGTCTGCCATAGAATTTAGGCCATGTTGTAGAAAAATGCTTTGAGCTGGGGCACTCACAGAGCTTTCTCCAGTGAAGCGAACATCAAACCAAAGTGTGCAATGACATCATATGAATCTCTGCATGACTGGCTCTCTCTAAAATAATGTGTTTCATATCTCTGCCACTGTGCACAGCTAACTAGGCTATGATAATGTGATGCTATGTAGGATTTGACGAACAGTATTGTACACAAAATATATGGAAGTATTTAACGCATTCCTGCACAGATCAGCAGCACAGGTTATATTATGTAATGTAAAAAGTAACCATTCAGCACAGAGCTTCATTTCCCATGACCATCTGGGTTTCATGCTAACTTTTGAGTGTGTATTTTTTTTGTTATGGTTCTCAGCTTCTCGCAGACTTGGACTTAATGGTGGAATTTGAATGTTTTGTCAAAGTGTACGCTATTTAAATATTTAATTTTGATGTTGTTTCTTTTTTTTCTTTTTTTTTGCTATACTGGTTTGTGATTTTTACTCATGCAAAAGTGTATAGCAATGAAGTCAAAATTAGCATGAGGTATGACACATGAATAGGGCATAGTTTTTTGCTGGTAATTTAAATGTTCCTTCAAGGATTGCAAGCATTGTGTAGTAATTATTTGTATTTATTGCAAAGTAGTTATGTTATTCCTAGTGCTTTAGCTTTGTGTGTGCCTTATGGAAATTTCTTTTTAGCAAATTACAGTGGATTTATTTAAGTTTGAAAGCTCATCCACAATTAACATGCCTGTCAAATGCTGGGAACAAAAATTTACATAAATAACCAATAACAGGCTTTAAAATTAAAATATAATTTCCTACCAGTATTTCTAAAATACACTTGTCATTATGTTGCTGTTAGGCTAACCGGTTTCCCTCTCTGTCGCAGGTTTGTGAGAAGTTCGTGGCCCCTCTGCTGAGCCCGAAGAGCCCGCGCAGCCCCCTGTCCCAGAGGCACGGGCCTGGTCTGGCAGATGTGTTCCAGTACGACCAGTGGCTCACGGTCCGACATGAGGCCACGCTGGTCCCCATGCAGGAGGATCTGGCCATCTGGCTCACAGGCATGCTGGGTAAGGAGGAGTTAAAGGAGAATACCATTTCAGCAGTAGGAGGAGTGGGTTATAAACATGTGAAGGGAAGAATAACTGAACGTGTCATTCCAGTACATGAAGTATTAGTATCTTCATGAGTACTATCACTATTATAATTGCTACTGCGTGTTTTAACAGCTGTTTGGTAGCGCTATACTAGTCTGATTCTTCAGACTGTTTCACTTCATGGAAACTGTCTGACCTCGCAGCATTAAAATTAATTTGCTCGATGGTAGGCAGGTACTTTTATTTATTTAACCAATCGCTGCTATTTGGTCATGACGTATGTAATGCGCCGCTAATGGGACTAACTAGTATATTAAGCTTTTTCCAAATCCTGTAGAAAGGAGGGCAATAATGTTTTTCCCCTTGATAAAAATCACCAGACATTCTCTTTGTTCTGGCTTTAAATCCTCCATCTCAGGAATCGTTGCCAACATATGGCTCTACACTGATTGGCTGGAGCACAAACTCGCACTTCTGGGATTCTTACAAACCGTCTAGTGTATTCCGATTCCTGACTTAGTCGCTGGAGAGAAATGAAATTGAGCAGAGGCACTAGGTGGCGCCAGTCTGGCTAGTGCTATGCAACATTATAATTCCAACCAACATCTTCCAAGTTCCAGTTTAGTAAAATCTGTCTGTCTCTTATCTGATGTTGTCTCCATTTGAGATGTTGGCTTGCCTGGGATGTCTCACAGTATGGCATTAATGAGTATTTTTGTCAAAAATACCTCAAAATTTCCTTGAAAAACCATGAAGGGGTGTTTCACTTCTCCATAGATCTGACTTGTAACTTGCCCTGCGGTGTCACTTGTTTGTCTCCATGGACAATATTACACTTTATGGCATGAAAATTGTATGTCCATGGAGACAAACTGGTGGCAGACCCTCTACTAGAAAAGTTACACCTTTACCAACCTTCTATAGCTAGTTTTTGCTTTATTTACATGTTACTCCTGCTACAGCCCAATACGGAGCGTACGTATAATCAACTCTTCATCTGCCACACAGTAGTTTGGTCCCTGAGGCGCGGAACATACCAGCACACAAACAATCGACACAGGTCTCTATGTGTCTGTATTGAGTTGCTGCTCTTTCCACCTTCCCTCAGTCATTATAGTCCATTGTGCGTCCGGGCACAATGAAGCAGTGAGAAAACTAAAACTGGGTTTATTGTCTAACGTTGAAACTGCTGCTTTCTGAGGCGGGAGCTGAAATTAAGCTTTTCTCGTGAAGAATGTGGGCAGGTACCAGGTTTCAGCTTGAGTTATTGATGCCACAACCACGCTGACCCACAACATATATTTTCAAACACATTTTAACAGTTTTACTACTAGGCTTTCACTAATCCAAGTAGTAGCAGTAGTTTTCTTTTGAGACTTGAAAGAGTATTATCAGTAAAGGAAGTTATTTTTATGATAGCAGAAATAGGTCAGAGTTTTAATAATGGCCTGGATGTAAGTTTATGTGACATTTACTTTTAGCAATGTTTTAATTTTAGGGTTTCCTTGTCAAAAACACTTATTACCTACAAGTAATCAAGGTTCAAAATAAACACATTTCAATACATTTCTACCTTGTAATGTCATTAAGTGGTAGTGAGAAGTTCTCCTTTGTGTTTTTTAAAGTCTATACATGTCACCTGACTTGTTCTGATCATTTCCATGCTTAAATTGTCTCCACTACAAAGCTAGCCAACTTCAAAGCAAGCAGCTATTGTTTTTGCCCCATTTAAACTGTTTATCAGAGCAACAGCAGGACAGGTCTTGGCAACCGTGAGTACAAATATGAGTAGAGCACCTGTATTCATTGCCAGTAGGTCTTCTCCTCAGGATGCCACACAAACAGGTGGTGTGCGTTGGGGATTGGGGATTGAGTTTCGAGCCTTGGGCAAACTTTTGTCTCTGAAATATGCTTTTGTTCACCAATCTTTGTCACTTAATGGAATTGGTTTTGTGAAAGAGAATGAATCTTCTCTTGTCTTTGACTCTGAGCCGTAACTTCACAATAAGAAGGTCATGGGACAGGATATAGCTTTTGTGAAGTGATGAATGAGTGGTATTTTAAAATTTACAGAAACAGGTTTAAGTTCCTCTGGAGGAGACGAGACACTCAGACCACAACACTGTTTCCTTTGTCGCATTAAGTATGACCTCAGAAAATATTCACACGTTGACTATGACTACAACATATGACTATGACTGAGTTAGTTCAGAGATGTCCATTAAAACTAATCTAGAGCATGAACACAGAGCTAAATTATGGTCTGAACCAAGATTTACTGAACAAGTACTACACTGGTGATAAACTGAACTGGACTGAACCTGGACTAAATCTATATAAACCACTGCATATTTATCAATCACAAAAGCTTTATACATTTTTTACACAAATTTATTACAAAAAACAAAACAAAAAACAAAAAGTTCAAACTCTGCTGCTTCAAACAACATGCTTAATGGAACAGGATTGGTTGTAGACAGGTTGATTAAAAAGCATCTAACCTGTCACCCTCCTAGTGGTCAGCCTCAGCAGTGCTCTGAGTGAGTGACAGGTGGATTTAACCAATCGCAAAGAGATGTGGACTCTCAGAAGAAGCAGATGACTTTGGTTATCTCTTCTAAACAATACAAAAATACTTAAACGAACTTAAAATTACATGATGAAATTGTGATCTGGCTCCAAGAAAATCATTTGCTCCTCGGTCCTAGATTAGAATAAAGCATGTTTGAGGTTTTGTTTTTTTTGTCTGACTGCGTTCTGTTGATTGTTTGCTTCAGGGGAACACGTGAGAGCGGAGTTTTTCATGGAGGAGCTGAATAACGGAGTGAAGCTGTGAACTGGTCCGAGTGCTGCAGACCAAAGTGGCCCAGAGCTGCCCCTCCGCACTCGCCAAGGTGAGTCAAAACCAGAGTCCAAAATAACTGTGGTCTGTCTCCTGAAGGGCACGTTCCACACCCAAAACGATACACTCAGAATAAGTCATGGTCTCATTTTACAAAAAGTGGAAGTTTAATTTGTAATCACAGGAAACACTGAAACATCATTCACCACCACCATTTCACCATAGTCCCCCATGGTCTATACTAACATTACTAAATCATAATTGTGATTTTGCATTGTCTTGTCATGAAACAATTGAGTTTCTGCTTTAAGATTCAAAACGCAAACATGACATTTAGGCTCATAAAATGTAGAGAAAATCATCTTGTTCTTCCTTCTGTGTACATTGTTAGATGAGTGTGGCACTGCTCATTTGAATAATTTGTCTTTTTACGATACTACGATATTATTTCTTATTCATATCATGTTTGGGTTTTTTTTGTATATCTGCACTTGCACTTCATTGTGTGTTAGGAGCTACATTGACACGTGAAACTCTCCATTGTTACATCAATGATAAATTTTTATATTATAATATGCCAAACACCTAACCTACAGTTATAATGATACATTTTCTTTCAAAACCTCTTCCAGCTCTTTCCCAGAAAAGTGGCCTGTAAACACAATGCCTCTCCTGGTTCATTCTTTGCTCGGGACAACACGGCCAACTTCCTGTCGTGGTGTCGAACGATCGGAGTCGAAGAAACCTACCTGTTTGAATCTGAGGGCCTGGGTAAGACACTGTGATGGAAATTTATATTGAGGAAAGATTTCTCTCAATCTGTCTGTGTGTAAATGAATGTGATTTCTACCCAGACCAGTCATTAGCATATGTAAAGACTCAGCAGACACAACCCAGGAAACTCTGTGTTGTCTTACCTGTCCTCAAATGTATGTTAATTTAGCACCAGCCTCTGAAACAAAAGTCACTCTGCTTTGATATGTATGTAACTTGTATTTCTGTATAAATACAATACAATACAATGCTCTGGGGGGTAGAGACTTGGGGAGAGGTGGTAGGGACATACTGCTGGTGAGGATGTCTCTGGCCAGGGCAGGACTAGGCCCTGTCCATATCTGCTAAGAATAAACCTTCGTCTGTATCCCAAAAACTCACACAGCAAAAAGTTTTTAGACTAATGTTCTGATTCTATTGGATTTCAGATTTTGAAAAGCAAACTATCAAACTATAAACTGGTCAGTGTGAGCAGTGTAAATTAATACATAATAGTACTAGAGACAACCGTCTAATTAAGGCAACTGTTATGTGATGTAAAGCTTCTAAAGTGGACCAAATGAAAAGCAACAGTGAAACAGATAAACTTATAAAGCATGTACAATATTGGACATTTCTCAGGAGCATGGAGCTTTGAGAACCACACACTAAATAGTAATTATTTAAACCAAAAATAATATAAAACAATTAATCAAACAATTGAAACTGTCTGCTTCTCATCTATTTTTTTTTTAATCTACAAGCTGCTTAGAGATCCTTCAAATCTTTTTCCTTTTTTAAAAACTCAGCATTTCCTGAAGCCTATGTCTGTACAGTTAATGTAATATAGTGTCTGTCTACAGTATTTTGACCAAGTCTCAATGTGGCCCTTTAATCTTCCGATATCCAAGTATAAGCTTAACTTCTTTAAGGGTTTAATGGGATGTGTCTGTGGGAGTAATCGGTCTGAGTACATAGTATCAGGATCGTTTCATTAATGATTAAAGGCTTCCAAAAACTGAGAGAGGACTTTTATTTTGAAAGTATAGAATAAAGGTCTTCTTCAGGTCTTTGTCCCAAATATCTGTTTTTATTTCTGCATGATTCACCTCTACATGCTGCTCTTAAGGTCACATTTAAAAACACTGTCAAATCTCCTCTTTGTAACATCTATTTCGGGCTTGTATTTAAATAATATTATGCATTATGTTTCATGAGCATTTCATAACCCAATAAAATATTTTTTTCTAGTACTGCACAAAGAGCCACGCCAAGTTTGCCTTTGTCTGCTCGAAATTGGACGGATTCTTCTCAAGTGAGTACAGGCTGAAACACTGCATTTATTTACATGACATTATTTGTTTAGTTTAGTGTGTGGAATGATCATTAGGGTGTGGAAAAAAAGACTTCAAGAGCTTCTTCATGTGTTTAAAGTTAATACACCTTCACCTCGTATCAGAAAGCATCTCAACCTTCAAGCTAGTAGCTTTTGTTTTTAGCCTTTTAGCCTCGTTGAAGCTGATTCACTCCTATCTTTTACTTGTTTGTCCAAAAGGTGTACGTATGAAAATGTGAAATTTCAATGTTAAGGTGTTCAACAACATTACTCAAACATGTATGAATCACTGAAAATATAACTTGGAGTAAGATTATGATGAAGGAACATAACATGATTTAGAAGTTAAAAGTCAGGTTTCCATAATATGTCATCTTTAAAAAGCCTGAGAAATACAATATAAAACTGATCTCCACTTAAACCATGTATTGCTTTGTGTTGTGTTGGTCAGATATGGTGTAGAGCCCCCGGTGCTGGTGAAGCTGGAGAAGGAGATTGAGTTGGAGGAGACGCTGCTTTTGGACGAAGAGCCGCCTCCCGCTGTGAAAACCTTCAGTGTGTGCTGTCAACACGGAGGCCTGTATCAGGCCGAGGTCAGACGCTGTACACTACTAATATGTCTTGTGTCTTGTGTCTTGTTTTAAGCAGGGATTTTTTTACAGTGCTGCACCCTCTTGGCAGTAAAACACAATCCTATGAGTCAGTGTGACCAGTGCGTCTTCCACTGCTTGACAAAATATGCTAACATAAATTACACATCTAAATGTTTGTTTTTATATCAGTCATGCAAGTTTCCAACATCAGAAATGCCATGATAAAAAATAAGTGCTGTGATGCATTAAGTATCTGATCTGGTCCAGGAAAAAAAAGACTTTATTGGATATTAGATGGTTATTGGTAGTGTGTCCTTTAGTTTGTTTTTACAATTTACCGTCAACACTGAATGTCTCATAATGTTTATACTAGAGAAGCACTGATCTGATACTTGATCTGATACTCGACTTTGAAATAGTCGAGTATCCTGGTTGGACACATAAATTGATGTAATTGGATTGGATTTGGATCAATTTTGTCTTATTTTATTTTTGTTTTAAGGAAATAAATGTAGTTTTCAGTCTCTGCGCTAGTATCTGTTGATATCTGGTATCTGCTGAGACTTAAAGCTATAATATTGGAATCGGTATCGGAACTGAAAAAGCCGTGTTGTGCATCCCTAGTTTCTACTTTAGTTTATACAGTACTGCTGCAGAGCTGATGACAAAAAATATACTTCATTAAATACCCAAAACTCAGGTACTGATATTGTGACTGAAAAAGATGGATCAAGCATCAAATATCAAATTGTATAATTAAATATGAAAGTGCCTTTATCCACAACTCATTTGACTATCTCACCCTACAGAACAGTTTGTTTATAGAAAGTTGGGTTGTACTCCTTAAACTTCACTGCACACACAAACAGACTCACGTGTGGTTATTTATTTTCCTTCCACTTGCCCGCACCTCGAATATACATACAGCTGATCACGTTAGCGTCACGTTAGCATCACATCGACGGTGCATGTGCGACCCAGTTGAAGCAGACCCAAGATGGCCGACCGTGCGCTCAGTTGTGGGCCCCCGGGGTCCATGACACACCACAGCGGAACATGTGACGTCTGCTATAAGACTCACACTGACACGTGCACCTAGGGCTATGCAGGCATCTCATCGCATTTAAACTCAATGTCTATGCACTTTTAAAACCTCTCCAATTAATACTTTATGCCCACATGACGGTATGAGTAAGAGCTTAAATGATTAAATTTAGCTACATTCCCACATTGGTGAATAATACAGATGAGTTGGGGGTTTGGTGTCGAGAGATGGTCAAGCTAAAAATAACTGTAGACACACTGAAGCGGAAAATGTTTTTAGTTAAAGCAAGTCCTGTATAGAGTTTACTCATTTGAATAAGCAGCTTATGTCATGATTGAAGATACACTGGGGACTGTCTATCATCTGTGACTTGTATACGAGTTTGAGGGATGGTTTTTAACAAGATGCCGATGTGAACTGACAGTTTGGGCAGTAGGGGCATTAAGATGACAATAAGAAGATATAATTTTAAAGATGGGGCACTACTTTGACTGCCAGTGACTGTGTGGACACTGAAAAACACCAGAGTACTGGTTTAGGTGCACTATGGAATCTTGCATGGAGATAAAGGAAATGCAGGCTTATAACGTAAATGTTGGATATTACACTGTTATCATATTGCTACGTTTCACACATGACATGACATTGTACATAACATCATGTACAGATGGGTGGCAGGTAAAATGAATATTGTTTAAAAGACAGATTTTTGTTGATCTGACGATTTATAGGGCCTGGTCATTAATATAAATGATCAGCTTCAACATCTATGAATTTACCATTTAGATATTTCTTATGAAAACACATGTAATCAATAGGGAAAACGGATCCCCCATGTGGAAGCATGACCACAGCTGGCACACACGCTTGCTGTGCTTGTTTTAATGTTTGTTTTTTGTTTTTCTGCAGGAGGCTGGTATGGATGAACCTCCCTGTAACTGCGCCAACAGAGTTTCCATTGAGTACCTGTCCGAGGGCCGCTACAGGCTCGGAGACAAGACCATCTTCATCAGAGTGAGTGTGCTTCATTTATCTTCATTTATCTACAGCCATCTACAGCCTGCACCATTCACACACAATACAGCAAGTTAAATACATGACAAAATACTATTGCCATTGTTCTGAGAGAAAGCTGTCACAATTTGGCACTTTTTAGATTTGTAGATATAATGTATTTAATAAAATTAAATGTTTATATTCATGGGTTTTAGCCTCCAGTTATAGGCGATATTTTAAGGACTTTTCACCATTCAAAAGAGATAATATTTGCTTTTGAATTGTTAATTACTCTGGCTACTGTCCTAATTTTTCATTACTGCGAAACCCTTGGGTAGTTGTTGCTTGGACTTACAAAGGTGTGATGACTGAGACTAAGCTGAGACCATTAAAAGTGCACAGCTGAATAAACTGGCCTCTCTGCACTTAATGTTTCCTCATGTTACACATTTTAAGCTGACATCTTCATTTATACTAAATCCTAAAGCCCAGATCATTACATGTGAGTGTGTTTGGTGATGGAATAGGCACTGGCAGCGGAGTCCAGTCACTATAATCTCATTAGCGGGTTTCACTGAAGCTCGTTAGTGTGGTACCGCTCTGCTTTAGTTACATCATAAAGTGGTCCATGCCAAGCCTCAGGACAGACGCACGTTTTTAGATTTAACAGTTATTTTAGGAAGTTTTCACACAAAGACGTCATTGCTTTTTGTCCATTTGGTTCACAAACAAAAGTATTAGACCTGAGTTCAAGTTTGCCTTGCATTGTTAAAACTTTGATTATTAACAACATCTTTGTTTAAAAAGTTAATATAAAAAGTTGTAAATGTAATGTATATTTGTACCATAGTGGCACCAGCTAAAATAATGAGATTGTTCACTTTTAAATCTGACGACCTTTTTGCTGTTTTGGATGTTCAAAGCATTAGTTATTTCTGTTTTATTTGAAACTAGTCCCTCCTAATTTTTTTTAACTGTTGCTATTGGAACATAGCATATTCTCCTGAGACCCAGCCCATTCATTTGTGACCTTTATAGTGGACATTGAGTTAACCAGTCTATCTTTTAAGTATTTTGAAATAGACTCTTAACGGGGGACGAGGTTCCTCTGCCTAAATAGGGCTGTGGGGTTATACAGCATAATACATATTTTTTTGGCATAAGAATAAATTATAGTATGTTCTTTTTTTTTTTTTTTTAAAGGTAAAACTGTCAAAGAAAAATAATAATCACATCATATACCACAAGACAAGATCTAAATTTGCTGCTACAACTATCTTATTACACAATTTAAAAACTATTTGAATTTGAAACAATGGAGGTTACATATGGAGCCTGTGAACACAATTGCATTACATTATTATTATATAAACTCTCCTGTGGTGCCCTGGTGTGAGCCTGATGTTTCTCTTCCAGATGCTGCACGGTAAACACGTGATGGTGCGTGTGGGCGGCGGCTGGGACACTCTGCGTGGGTTCCTCATGAAGTACGACCCCCAGCGTGTGCTACAGTTCACCACTCTGGAGCAGAAGATCCTGGCGTTCCAGAAAGGCCCGCCCAGTGTAGGACACAACCATAACCACAACCACCATCACACCGGGACCCCCGCGCCGCCGCCTCCTCCGCCCGAAATGGACCCCCTTGCGGCTGTCAATGACCTCATGTCCTCCACCTCTTCCTCCTCTGCGTCGTCATCGTCTTCCTCTACCGCACCCTGTAAACCGCCGCAAACGTGCAGATCCTATGCCAACTCCCCAGCATGTACACCGACGTTGCCCAGAAAGAATATGGCTCCCGCACCCAAAAAAGTCCTAAATATGGCCCCCAAGAAGCCAACTCAGCTCCCACTTCCAATCACCAAAAATGCGTCGTCTTCTTTGCCGTGTACTCCAAAGCAGACCCCCAGCCCGAGCGGTACAGTCCAGCGCAGAGCCATGACGCCGTCCCCCGTGCTTTCCAATCCGTCATCTAGACTCAAACTTAGAGCAACTCCTCGCAACGGAGCACAACCGAGGAGTCCAGTTTGCCCCGAACCGTCCTCCAAATGCCCGAAACCTTCAAGTCCACTTACCTCTCCAACAGGTGTCCCTCTGCCACGCCCTGCCACAGCCCCCGCCCGCGCTAATGCTAACACTGCTAACAATGCTACGGCTAAACCACCCACGGGCGCTAACCAACGCTCTCGTTTAGCCCAGCGCCGCCCCGGGTCCCCAGCCTCTCGTCTCCGTTTAGAAGCGACGAGAAGAGTTCGCACAGCCCAAAATCGAACACCTACACCCAGTTCCAGCTCCAGAGCAGCATCCCCGGCCCTAAGTACCTCCAGTAAAGCGAGCGATATCCAGGCTAAAGCTAAAACGCCCACGCAGAGTAAGCTAACGGCTAATGCTACGCAAGCTAAACCTGTTGCTAATTCGCACATACCGACGCCAGTTCAAGGGCGGGTCCCTGCCACTGGCAACACAAGTCCCAAATCTACTCAGAAAACCGTTACAGAGTCAAAATTGGCGCCAAAAGCACAAGCTAACACTAACGCTAGCAATAACAAGGCCAAGTTCGAGCCGGAAAATATTCCAAAATCAACCATTCCTAAAGCCATCAAGACGGAAGCAAACGGAAGCAAAAAACCCACCCAGGGCAAATCCAAAACCGAGGAGCCATATTTTGAAATGAACTCCAAAAGAAAACAAAAAAAATAGAAATTTAAACCAGCCGGCTGGTCTCTCTGCTCCTTCCAAACCCAGCAGCACTTCTCATTTTAACACTGTCATTAACATAAATCTAATCTAGAGTAATAATAATCAATGTTTGTTTTGGAAATTTTGTATGTTATTTAATTGTTGCTTGTAGTTTTTTAATCGGAAAGGGTCGATCATCTAGTTTTGTTTTTTGTTTTCTTTACAGAGCTCATATCCAAGTTTATGGTTAACACTAATCTCATTGTTTACATTTTTAAACTTTTGTTACAGCCATTAATTCCATTTAAAAAACACTAACCTCAGTGATAACTGTGTATTTCAACACATGATTTATGCCCTTTAAAATAACACCACCATGAGTTAACATATCTGTAATGGAAACCAAAGGTTTTGGAGTCTGGAGAGGTATCTTCCAATGGTAAATGATCACACTACATACTCTGTGTTTATTAATTAGCCTGGTCAGTAAAACCCATTTACTTTGCAACTCTCTTCATAGCAATCTTTGTTTAATTTCAACCAAAAGTAACTATTTATCTACAAGGGGCTGTCTTGATGCAGTGCCTTTACTTCAGCTTTATCCGCCTTGGTCAGTTGATACTGGGCCTTGATTCAAGCAGGTCTGTCAACAGAAATTTGTTGACAGACCTGTTGACTCCCCTGGATCTATGTAATGCAATTTTTATGATCAAAAACACATTTTCTTCTAATGAATTTGAAGAATACTATACAAACATTGCAAGTTCATTTAAATGCATTTGATTCATTATGATTTCCATTACAAGTTATTTTTTGAGGATCTTTTTGTCTCTCTGATTGCCTTTTTGCACACAGAACTAGTTTCTTCTCTATTACTTGATGCTGTCTATATCCTCAAAATCCAATTTCTTATTCAAAGTTGTACAGGATAAATATTACAAAATACAAAATTGCTGGCCAGGCTAATTATAAATATTTTTAGGTGGAAAGGTTCATCTCAGTGGTACCAGACAGTGCCATGAGAAACCATTTTGCCATTGTGCCTTTGACAGAAATGGGTCAGAATTTGAGAATGTATTGGACTTTTTGGTGTAGGGGGATTTAAAATGGCTTTCAGGATCTTTATTGCACACTGTGCATAGGCACTCTATGGAGAAAGGAACTACTGAACTCAACCTCGCTCTGCCCTCTAGTGGCTGCAATAATGTTACAGCATAATCTACTTTTAGGACTTTTCTATGTTTTTGTGGATAAAGTCTCTAGTTTTCTATGTAGTGTTGGTGTCTGTGAGTGAATACATAAATATGAAGCAGCAGATAAATAATATTATGAGGCTTTTTCTTGGCACTTTATAGAAACTGGTGTTCGTCACGGTTGAATGTCGTTTTTCTTGTCTTTTTTGTCCAGTTTTTGATGTTTATTAATAAATGGACAAGTGTTTTAAATCAGATTTTGACTCAATCTTTTATTGTCTCTGGATTGAAATGGTTTAATATCAGATGAATGCTAAACAATGTGACCTCTTGATTCAAATACATTAGCAGATATGGAAGACCTACTAGCCTTACTAGTATGTCCGAACCAATGTCGTGTACCCCTATGTTTGTTATGATTATTCGTGAACATTTTCTATTTTACAATACCTAGTAGCAATGGGAAATGTGCATTCTCCTGTCATAGAAAAGCATAACCCAGTTTATATTGGTTTTACATAAAAATAACCTCAAACATTTTCCATCTTGAAACAATATGGAACGCTTAAAGATTCTACTCAGCTTTCTAACTCAGTGAAAACTCATTAAGCAGTATCTATAGTTGCCCTAATGTAATTCATTGATGCATCTATATCAGACTTATGTAATTTTGCACCAAATCCCCCCCCAAAAAAGCAACATTGTTATGAAAAAGTGATTTGAAGGTCAGGTCCAGTTAAATGCTTAATATTTCTTTTTTTGTAGTTACTGAATCATAACATAAAAATGTGTCAAAAATGATACACGAAATTCAAATGTTTACAGAATTTATTACATTTCAAAAGAAGTTAAATAACATTAACAATTCATTTTAACATACTCTAAATATCCATATGTGGAATCTATTGGACATTACATTATAAACCTATAAACATTATAAACTCTTATTTTACCCTGAAAGAACAGCAGATGGAGCCAAGAGCATTCGTTTTGAAATTCAAGCTGAAAATGTCCCATCTAAAGCAACATTTCAACTTCAGAGGTCCAGTGTGCAAAATACAATAAAGGCCCCAGTGTGGTTTATTGATAATGTGGAAGATCTGAGAAAAAACCCACAAAGAAAACTGCTCAAATAAGGTAAATTTAAAGATAAAAAATATTATATTTCCATCAGGATAACAATGGTAAGTTGCACATTTGAAGAAGCAGTCAGGAGCGGTCTAAAATCCAGTGTCACTACATTTTAGAAAATAATGGACAATCCCAATTGTGTTGTACAAAGGTGTAAATGAATGACAATAGGAAACAGGCATAGTTACATTTAAATTAAAATTGTAAGATGATACTTTTTTAGCCCTTTCAAGTAGCATAATTTGGAAACATTTATTTTATTTCTTTTTAACACAGGAATGCCTTGATAATACTGGTAACTTAATTGCGGTGCCTGTTCTCTACAAAAATATAAAAGATTTAGAACCATTTTGACATATGAAGCCATAGAAGAATCTTGCCAAACTTAATTATTTCCTATTTTTTTTGGTGGGGAAAAAATTTGTACTGAATCAAAGGTCCAAGAGAAACCACAAAAAGGCAATGAACAATACCTGTTTGCCTTTGGGCCAGTTCCTCTTGCCAACTTAAATGTTCCACCTGCTTAAACCTGCATCCAGTACTTAGAGCAGCAGAGGCGTGTGCTCTCCGGCCGACTCGCTCCTCTGCGTCAGCTGCTTCACGCGGGAGAAGAAGCGGTTGGGGAGAGGGGGACAGTGGTGACTGGGGTCCAGGACGTTGGTTTTCCGCCGCTCTCGTTCCTGGAGCCACATTAAATAAGGACTTGGAGGGAAAAAGGGGCGCTCTCTCTCCCTCAACAACTGCAGGGTGATTCCAGAGGCACCAAGGACCAACCATACAGAGAGCAAGCTGTAGTCTGGAGGACAAAATAGCAAAATAAAGACACCAGGGTCATGTAGAGCTGATTAATATGATAATTTTAAGACCAAAATGACGAGGCTCACTGCAGCAGGTACAGAGAGAGGGGTGACAATTTTCCAGTGTCCAGTGGGGAGTAACAGATTACATGTACCAGAGTTACGTAATCAGAGTACAAATTATGAGTAACTGTATTCGGTTACAGTTACTGTTTAAGTGGTAATTAGATTAGAGTTACTTGGTTGAAATAAATGGATTACACAGAGGTATTTTCCTGTTTTCACATTTTGGGCTATATCCCTTCTATTTATTTTTTTAATTTTTTTATTTTTTTATTTTTTTCGGTAATTCCACTCATTGCTGGACACTAAATCAGGTCTAAAACCAGGTCTAAAACCAGATCTAAACCAGGTCTAAACCAGAACTGAACCAGGTCTAAACTACGTCTAAACCAGGTCTAAACCAGGACTAAACCAGGACTAAACCAGGACTATACCAAGTCTAAACTATGTCTCAAACAGGATTTAACAGGACTAAACCATGCCGTGCGGACTGTGTCTCCTCGTCTTCTATCAATACTATTTCTAATTTGGTTAAGTAAAGACCGTTTTTAAAAATAGTCTTTTAGCAGACAAAACATCTTATGTGAAGATGTCCGAGTCTTTGCTTCTCTACAGCAAATCAAGTAATCTAAAGTATTCAGATTACGTTACTCACTTTAAGTAATTTAATGGATTCCGTTACAAACTACATTTTGGGGTATGTAATCTGTAATCTGTAGGGGAATACATTTTAAAAGTAACCTTCCCAACACTGCTAATGGAGCCAGGGTCAGAAGGAGCTGGAAGCGCCCCACTCCCTATTTGAAATGCAGTGGCTAGCGGGTAAGCTATGTCCATTTAGTAGGGATGTAACAAAAACCGAAATATCGTGATACTGTATCGTCAAAATTCTCGCAATAATATCGTGGACAATCACAATATATCGAATCACAAATCTCTTTGCTTAAATTAAGAGTTATGGTGCAGCAATAGTTAAAAAAAGACAGAAGGAACTACATAGACCATGATCCTTTGCTCCATTTCAGTGTAGACTACATGTAGAAATAACAGTTTATAATAAGCACTTTTAAGTCTTAGTTCTTTGGGTTAAGTCTTCTCAAGGCATTTTGAGAGCGTATCGCATATTAAGTTTTTTTTCCAGCCTCCACAAAATATCTCAATAAATATCGTACCGTGAGAAGTGTATCGTGAAAATATTGTGCAGAGAGATTTGGATATTGTTACATCCCTAATCATGAGCCTTAGATATCGTTACACCCGTACCATTTAGTACACCTTTATTTTGATTCTTTTGAAGAAGAGGACGACATTGTCAGTTTATAACCCACCTATGCTTTGGAACGGCACGTCTGTGAAGGCGCCGCTGAAGTCGGAGTTGAGGAGGCGTTTGAGAATGTTCAGGGTGATGTAGGACAGACTGGTGTAAACAAAAGCATTCACTGCCAACACCACAGCATAAGCCCCCACCACGCCACAGGTCACGATGTTCCCCTGAGCACACAGACACAGAATAAGAAAAAAACATCAAATTTAGACACTTTATACTTAAATACTTTTAAGTAGGAGTGGGCAATAATTTAACTCTGTGAAACTTGAACCTCAACCAAGACATTTACAGATATTTTAGCACATTTCTGACAAATTGCAAAAATATGAGCTGAAAAACATTATCAGCAGAATAGATATTAGAGCCCCATATTACGCCGTTTTCTGATCTTTATTACGATGTTATTTCCTCACAAAAAAACATAACCAGAGTTGTGTTTTGTTTCATTCGCACACATTTCATGCACAAATCCTGCATATTTAGGCTAGTTCGGACAGAAAACACCTTGTGATGTCATGAGGTCCACTGTGTTTTTAAAGCCTAGCCTAGCACCAGTGACCTCTGCAAATATAAGGACTGGATGGAATATTTAAAAAAAAGTGTCTCCACACATCTCCAACACTCTGGCTAAGTAGGAAAAGAGGTCCTATACCTATTCTGGACTGTCCCTTTAAATACTTGTAGAACTGGACAGGTGACCACTAGAGGGAGTCAAAGCAAATAACATAAAACTCAGGCTCAATTGAGGTACTTCAAAAGTCTATTACCTCTCTGGGCCACCGTACAAAGAACAGAGGGACAATTATCATAATGCAGGAAAATGTGACCCAGAAAACAGCATCCGACCGTCTGAAGATGTCCAAGTCTCCTGCAAAAGACCAAAAAAAACCCACTATACTCAGAAAAGACCAGTGATTAAGATGTAGTTCATTTCTGTTGTTTAATGTTCTTAAGAGGAGGAGTTCAAAGCTACAACTTGAAATAAAAGATACATACATTTAGTTCATTGTCAAAAGTAGTTTCTCACCCAGAGGAGTAAAGAGGACAGTGGACGCGATGAGGAAACCCAACATCAGTCCAACTACGACGACACACGCCATGACTGAACCAAATCTCCACCAGCTCATGACCAGGATGACCCCGCCCACGACGCCAAACAGAGCCGAGAGCACCAACCGGACTGAGGGAGGAGAGGAAAAAAGAACGGGAAGAAAGAGATGGAGGAGACAGAGATGGCGAGGGACAGAGGGGAGCGAGAAGGTTGTGTGAAGGGATGAGAGAGTAAAGAGGAAAGGGAGAATGAGAGAGAAATAAAGGAGAGATGAAGAGCAAGGTAGAGGTAGAATAGGGAGAGATGGGGCAAGAGAAAAACGAAGGGAGCGGACAAGAAGGAGAGAGAGAAAGAGAGTCAGGAAAGAGAGGGAGTGAGAGAAAGATTAAAGAGATGGAGGAGAAAGGGAAAGGGTGAGTGAGACAAGGAGAACACATTGATGAATAGATTTGGTTATAATACAGGTGTATGTGTCAAGAGATGCTATTAAAAACACAATGGTAACTTGGCTTGTTTGAGTTAAGATTAGATATTCAAACTCACCGTCATATTCAAGTTCAGTCGTCCGGGAGATCAGCACAAAGAAGAAAAATGCAATGAAACTGAAGCCCATACAAAACAGCTCTGAAAGACAAACATGAAATAAGTTTAGAACAACAAAACCATTATTAAATCATAAAGAACAAATAAACAAACATGAGAGAGAGAGAGAGCGAGAGAAAGAGAGAAAGAAAGAGAGCAAGACAGAGCGCGAGAGTGAGAGAGCGAGAGAGAGAACGATGGAGAGAGGGAGCAAGCAGGAGAGAGCAAGAGAGAAGAAGAGGGAGAGAGAGTGAGAGAGAGAGAGAGAGAGAGAGTGAGAGAGAGCGCGAGTGAGAGTGAGGGAGAAAGACAGAGAGAGCAAGAGAGAGAGAGAAAGAGAGCGAGAGAGAGGGGGCGAGAGAAAGAGGGAGCGAGAGAGGGAGCAAGCAAGAGTGCGAGAGAGGAAAAGAGAGAGAGGGAGGGAGAGTGAGAGAGGGAAAGAGAGTGAGAGAGAAAATTAGCAAGAGAGAGTGCATGAGAGAGTGAGAGTTTGAGTTAGAGAGTGAGAGGGAAAGTTTTGCTGCAACAAAATTTACACTGTTTTTTCAGTCGCCTTATGTGTCTCAGTGCAGTTTCCCATTATATAGTGTTAAAAAAACTGAGCTCAAAATACAAAAAGTTTCAAAAACTGCTCAGTGTGTGAGCCAAATAGACATAAAAGCAGTCGACAACTCCAGACACGGGAAGCAACATGCAACCTCTTATAACACAAGTATTTCTGAAAGCTTTCTTACTGCATAACCTCCACACAGAAAGGAAGTGAGAGTGGTAGCTACTCAGCCCCCCTACGGCTCATCGACATACACAAGACATTCTGAGGATATATGTCAGACAACAAGGACTGTGAAGGGGGGATCATTATTAAAAACTATCCAGGAATGATCCAATTTTGCATTCGCAGCAAATGGCACCAACTGTTTGGAGTCATCTGGACCTAAGCCTCTACTTTGGATTCTAGTTTTAGCATTTGTGAAAATCTTAGCTATAATTGCTTGCTACGAATATATATATATATTTTACATATTTCCTATTTTTTCCCACTAAACCACAACATGATCATTTGTTTGGGCAACTTCTGATTCATCCAGTGTCACTTATTGCAGTCATGAGCTTGACTTGGAACAAATACGTTTAAAATCACATGCAAAACAGCCCCACATGAGGATAAGAAAACAGCCACATGGTCGGAGATAAACGTCAGAGAGAAAAGTTCATTCAGTTTAATAGCGATGTATGACTTATATGGAGCTGAAGAGAGGTAAATGTATCATGGAAAATTAAAGGGCCCATATTACGCTATTTTCTGATCTATGTTTTAATGTTGTTTCCTCACCAAAAACACACCTGGAGTTGTGTTTTGTTTCATTCACAAATGTTTAACTCACAAACCCTGAATATTTAGGCTCAGTTCTCTCACACGGAAAATACTGTCTCATCCATGTGGTAATACAGGAAGTGCTCCACACCTTCACTAGAACCATGTGGGTAATTTCAGCCCTGGAACAATGAACTGAACTAAAGGTAAAAGGAGCTGTTAACTTGAGAACTACAACTACATGACATCACAAGGTGGAAGCATTTTGAGCGTTTGGAGATGTAGACATTATTAAATCAGGATCAAATGTGTGTGCCTGAAACAAAACTCTAGGTAAGTTTTAAATGAGGTAACAACATTAAAACTGACGCTTGAGGTTTAAGCCATGTTATGTGTACTATAGGACATTTAAGTGTGATGTATGACACTATTATGAGACAGTTCGTGCTGAATATTGGTGCATATTAAGAATAGGTTTGGGGTGTATTGTGTGTTCTTGTTTAAAGTATGATATTATATTCGCACACAGTTGTACTCACCACATTTAAAGAAGCGATGTCCGAAGAAGCAAATGAGCAGACCGGCCAAGCCAGTGATTGTGAAGAAGATTTTAGTGGAAATTTTATCTGTCAAGAGAAAAAACAAAAACATATGACTACAAATCTTTTTTTTTTGTTTATTCCTTGCCTAATAATAATTGTAAAATACAGTGACCTAAATAGTTATTTTAACACATTGCGATATTGCAAAGAATATTGGGAAAAGCATACAAAATTTTAAAAATACAAACAATATAATTTTTATTTATTTAATTCTTATGGAGGATCAACTTTTACACTATTATTAAACATAAACTGAATTTAAATATTGTAAATATTTCCCTGCTTCAAGTGGAGGAGTTCAAGTATCTCGGGGTCTTGTTCACGAGTGAGGGGAGGATGGAGCGTGAGATTGACAGGTGGATCGGTGAAGCATCTGCAGTGATGTATTCACTGTATCAAATCGTTATGGTGAAGAGGGAGCTGAGTTGAAAGGCAAAGCTCTCGATTTACCGGTCAATCTTCATTCCTACCCTCACCTATGGTCATGAGCTTTGGGTAATGACTTATAGGACAAGATCGCGCATACAAGCGGTCAAAATAAGTTTCCTCTGCAGGGTGGCTGGGCGCTCCCTTAGAAATAGGATGAGGAGCTCAGTATGCGGGAGGAGCTCGGAGTAGAGCCGCTACTCCTCCATGTTGAGAGGAGTCAGCTGAGGTGGCTCGGACGCCTCCCTCGGGAGGTGTTCTGGGCATGTGCCACTGGAAGGAGGCCCTGGGGAAGACCCAAGACATGCTGGAGGGACTATGTCTCTGGGCTGGCCTGGGAACACCTCGGGATCCCCCCAGAAGAGCTGGAGGAAGTGTGTGTGGAGAGGGAAGTCTGGAAGACTGCTTAGACTGCTGACCCCACAACCCAGCCCCGGATAAAGCGGAAGAAAATGGCTGGATGGATGGATGGATGGTGTATAATCAGTATTATCAATAAGGAATATTTTTACTGGGTTGGTTAAAAATGGCAAAGATCTCACTAAATAAATATCACTACTAACCGAGGGTGTAGCAGCCATCAAGGGTGGAAGAGAAGCTGCAGGCGTAGGTGTGCACTGGGATGTAGGAGGCAGAGGAGTTTGTCACAGGGTCCCTCACGATCACTGAGTAGATCACGCCCTGCCCTGGGATAGAGCTGAAGACCGCTTCTGTAGGGTCTGCAGAGGACAGGGTCAGCACCTGAGAGGACAGGGGGTACAATTTAGAAACACACTTAAAAATAAAGTTTTTGTTTGAAGATAAGTACCTACATATGCAAAAACTACTCAAAGAGACACATGAGTCAGCCATGTTATGTAATGGTTTTTCCACATTATTAGCTTGCTCATAGTTGTATTTTCAGTGATTCATACATGTCTGGTTGACAATACAGAACCAAATTCTTGCATTTAAGGCTGTCACTATAATTCCTGCAAGACTTATTGTTCAATAGAGAGAGAGAGAGATACTTTATTGATCCAAAGAAAAATTCAAGTTTTGCTGCAGCAAACTGTTGGAGTTGTTAAAACATTTACACTGTGTCTCAGTCGCTTTTGTTTCTCAGTCAAAGGTCTCAGCGCAGTTTAACAGGAGGACAGGTCAGGGAGAGTCAGCAGATCCTGCGCAAGGGCCAAAAGTGTCCCTCATCTGTGACCTGCAGCATCACAGCAGGGTCCAGGGTGAATCAGGTGAACACAACAGGAAATGCCTCACTTTTACTCTGTTTCCAGAGTGCTTCCAGAGGAAACACTTTGTAAAAGTGTTTCCTCTGGAAGATCTTCTGCCACATTTGCTGCCACATATGATGTAAAAAAAAACTTGTAGCATCTCAAATGTCCATAGCTAGTGCTTTAGATAGCCTCTTGCATGGTTACCATGCGTACAGACGTAGCGCCCTCTCACTCTCCCAGTTGTTGTCTACGCATCGGAGTAGACACGCATCGAGAGAAATGTAATTTCAATTCCTTTGTATGTCTAGTACATGTGAAGAAAATGACAAAAAAGCTAACTTTGAACTTTGAACTTTGAAAATGCTCAGTGTGTGAGCCGGGTAGCCACAAAAGCAGCCAAGCACTCCGCTGCCATGGGAACAATATATATAACAGTTTTGTTTTCATCCACCCCTCACTGCCACCCACAAATCTTCATAATAAAAAAAAAAGCTTTGCAGCTGATGTCTTTGTGTCTCAGTCAAAGGTCTCACACACAGTTCTGCAGTTTTGAACAGGAAACCATATTATATTTATATATTTATATGCTTTCTTTAATGTAACACTATTCTTTTCTCTCACAACGCAGCCAAAGATTAAAGGTTTTATGATGACCATCATTAACCTTAGTAAGCAAAAATCTGTTGTTTATTTTAATGCTTTATCATATGGCCCTACAGTAGAGCATTTGTAGGGACACTAGCCTGAATTATGGTTGTGAGTTTACAGTACTGTCTCCAGCAGTCTGCCACTCTCTCACTCAGTTCTTCTGAACTTTGCCCTGTCAATAAAACTTATGGGACAAAAAGTATCTCCTTTTCAATGAAACAGGTTTAAAAGGTCCTATATATGCTGATCTGACTCTTGTGAGCTTTAAGCCATGTTAGAATGCTGTTACTTCCACAAAAACATATGTTGAGCTGTGTTTGTTTCAATCATGCATGTTTGAGTAACCTTGCATCATTAGTTTGTCTCCATGGTGCAAAATGCTGATGTCATGTAGTGCTGGTTTTCAAGTTAACAGCTAACAGTTTGTTATGAGAAAACAACATTATAACACAGATCAGAAAATAGTGTAAAAAATAGTGTCATTTTTAAAATTAATTAAAAAGAACAGAGAATATTTAGATCAATCTCAGTGTGTAACAAATATGGACAGTCATTGATTGCATCACTGCCCTGCCCTATCAGACTAAATGATTTCTGTGGTATTACGTAAAGGTGTTATTGACCTTGTTGCCGTTGGTGACCATGCCCACAGTATCAGCCACAGTCTCCAGGGCCCTGAACAGACTCTGCTCCGAGAGGTCGTTTTCAGGGAGGAAAAACTGAAACACGTCGTACTCCAACCTCCATTGAGAGAATGGACCAAAGGCATCGCAGGACGGGGCAGCCTGACCTCTGAGAAAACACACAGACATTATAGTATACACAGCCCTTCAATAAAGAGATTAGAGGGGTAGAGATAGATAGAGACAGATAGAGAGAAGTAGAGAGAGGGAGAGAGACACACAGAGAGAGATAAATACTTAATTGATCCCAAAGGAAATTCAACTGTAGTTAGTATTCAACTAAACCCAGAAAAGAAAATATAAGAAGTTCCAATTAATAAAATGTAGAAAATGAATCTGAATATGAATAGTTCTGATTAGTCTAAAAATTGAAGTCAGTTTGTTGTGACATTTCTTATTTGAGCAGTTTCTGGTTAGTGTCAAAATATTGTTTCCAATTTCAAATGAACTAGATAAGTAAAAGAAGAAACAAACAACAGTCGGAAAATTACACCTACTCAAAACAGGATGATTATTGAGAATTATTATAAATGTTTTAATGTAATATTTTAGCAGTGTTTGCAGTTCTCCAGAAGTGACTCACGAGAACTTTTCAGGCCACTAGAACATTCTTTATTTTGTTTTAATTTCCTGTCTTTCCGTGGTGAATGAGTCCCATATGGATGACCCCCCTTTATTATGGATAAACAAGATAGATTTTTGTGTAAGAGGTCCCAGGTCTAGTCAGGCCTTAAAGCTGCACTGTGTAACATTTTGATTGGGGGTCTGTCACCTACTTGTTTCTATTGATATGTCACTGCTCTGCCTGGAATGTTCCACAGTATGACATTAAACAGCTGTACCTTATATTGATTAATATAGAATAGGTATAGATCTGTAGGTCTGTATGACCGGAGCAGGAGCTGTGTTCGCATTGCCGGCAGTAAGTCAGACCTGTTCCCGGTGCATGTTGGACTCCGCCAGGGCTGCCCTTTGTCACCGGTTCTGTTCATTGTATTTATGGACAGAATTTCTAGGCGCAGTCAGGGGCCGGAGGGGGTCCGGTTTGGGGACCACAGGATTTCATCTCTGCTGTTTGCGGACGATGTTGTCCTGTTGGCTTCATCGAACCAGGACCTGCAATGTGCACTGGGGCGGTTTGCAGCCGAGTGTGAAGCGGCTGGGATGAAGATCAGCTCTTCCAAGTCCGAGGCCATGGTTCTCGACCGGAAAAAGGTGGCTTGCCCTCTCCGGGTGGGTGGGGAGTCTTTGCCTCAAGTGGAGGAGTTCAAGTATCTCGGGGTCTTGTTCACGAGTGAGGGAAGGACGGAACGTGAGATTGACAGGCGGATCGGTGCAGCTTCGGCAGTGATGCGGTCGCTGTATCGGACCGTTGTGGTGAAGAGGGAGCTGAGTCGAAAGGCGAAGCTCTCGATTTACCGGTCAGTCTTCGTTCCTACTCTCACCTATGGTCATGAGCTCTGGGTAGTGACCGAAAGGACGAGATCGCGGATACAAGCGCTTGAAATGGGTTTCCTCCGTAGGGTGGCTGGGCGCTCCCTTAGAGATAGGGTGAGGAGCTCAGTCACACGGGAGGGGCTCGGAGTAGAGCCGCTGCTCCTCCACGTCGAGAGGAGCCAGTTGAGGTGGCTCGGGCATCTGTTCCGGATGCCTCCTGGGCGCCTCCCTCGGGAGGTGTTCCGGGCATGTCCCGCCGGGAGGAGGCCCCGGGGAAGACCCAGGACACGCTGGAGGGACTATGTCTCTCGGCTGGCCTGGGAACGCCTCGGGGTCCCCCCGGAGGAGCTGGAGGACGTGTCTGGGGTGAAGGAAGTCTGGGAGTCCCTGCTTAGGCTGCTCCCCCCGCGACCCGGCCCCGGATAAGCGGACAAAAATGGATGGATGGATGGATGGAGGTATAGATCTGTTTTGTCCTGTTTTAGTCCTTTTTGTGCCAGAAATGTCCTGGTTCAGTCTTGGATTAATTCTGATTTAGCCCTTTGTAAGTTGTAAGTAGTAAATAAAATGACAAATAGTTGAAGTTAATAATTTGATAAGACCTGTCTAGATGCATGAGAACTAATCAGATGCAGCCAAACATAAATTAAGTTTGTCCCTCCTCACCTCATGGATCCTAAATTAGCCGGAGCGAAGCGTATGGTGGTCTCATAGAGGTTGTAGTGAATGTAGATGTTTGGGTCGATGTTCAGGTTAAACTCTGCGTTACATCCTCCAGGCACAGGGTCTAAAACACAGAAACATATTAATCATTATTTAATTTATCTGATATTTTGGCTGTATTCAAACTGACCATCCCATTTCAGACTTAGACAGACTCTTTTAAAATGTGACCCAAGATGCCTCACCCTCTTTGTCCTGGTTTGACACAAAAACATGAAGGCCAACAAACAAATCTAATTAAATAAGCGTGTGATAAAGTCAATTCTGTGCTTTTGTGCTGCAGTAAATGGTACAAACATGAAAAGCACAAATACTAATACTTTATTGATATAATTTCTTCTAAAGTTTGATTTCATGCCACTGGTCACATATTAGAGCAACGGTAATCTATTTAGAAACTGTCAATTATGTCATATTAAGGATTAAACAGTTGATGGGTGTTGTTTTCAGTTTCAGTCTGAAGTCACTTCTTTCACTAAACTGGTGCATTTCACCACATTTCAAGATAAGACTGAGATTTCCTGTTTTGTCGTCATGACAAAAACTCAGAAGAAGTGGAAGTTTTAACAGAGTTTAACTTGTCAAAGATGAAACAAGTAACTCATTTCCCCTTTATTATATCAATAGTCTGGATTATGTTAAAATTAATTAACAACATTATGATTTATGGGGAAAAATAGTAAACCTTATGAACATCTGATTTAATAAATAAACATGATATTATTAACCAGACTACCATAAAATATATAGCATACAATTTGGCTGCAGAGACAAAATAACAATTTCATCAAGAGTCATATTTTATCTTCAAATCTACAGTATTATATAAGTTTGTATATACATCTGTATGTGCCAGAATAGTACAATTATCTGTATCCTCAATTAAAATCTTAAGACACGGTTTAGTCCAGGTTTAGTCCAGGTTTAGTCCAGGTTTAGTCCAGGTTTAGTCCAGGTTTAGTCCAGGTTTAGTCCAGGTTTAGTCCAGGTTTAGTCCAGGCTTTGTCCAGGCTTTGTCCAGGCTTTGTCCAGGCTTTGTCCAGGCTTTGTCCAGGCTTTGTCCAGGCTTAGACTTGATTTAAATCTGGTTTAGACCCATCTTAGACGTGGTTTAGACTTCTTTCAGACCCATCTTAGACCCATCTTAGACCCATCTTAGACCCATCTTAGACCCATCTTAGACCCATCTTAGACCCATCTGAGACCCATCTGAGACCCATCTGAGACCTGATAAATCCTATGGCATACCAGAGCTGGAGTAGGGCAGGATGACGCCAGTGCCAGACACTGGTTCACTATTGGTCGTGGAGAGAAACAGGATCACAGAGCTCTGTCCCGGGTCCAAAGAAGACACCAGCCCTGGGTCTACAGCCGAGTGGGACCCCCCTGCACCTGGGAACTGACAGAGGGGGGGACATATGAAGAAATACTCTAGGTAGTCCATAAATAGAGCTTAAATAAATAATGCAAACAATTGACACTTTCAAGTAGAAAACATTTAAAATGTGTTATAAAAATATATGTTCATAGTTTAGATTTAAATGTGTCATCATATGTGACAGCTATTCTGGACAGGAAAGACTTTATACCCAAACAAGGAAGAAAATAAATATCTAACTTTTAGAAGACACCTATAATTTAAGCTTTATTGAGGGCCTATATACACAAGTATCAAATGATTTATATGTAATACCAAACGATTCTTTCTGAACTGTCTGTCAGAAGCTTATCAGTGATGCTTTACAATATAGCTTGTTGTACAGAGGGTTACTACCAAATGTCATTAGCCAATCGCACAACAGTTTTATTGTATTGAAACCACTGGTAAAAAGAGCTCCAAACTGCATTAGACCTGGTTTACCATGTTATGCTACAGCGGTTACACAACTTTAAACCCACACGTTATTACAAATGGATGAACAAATATATAAATTCATTGTACAACTACACCACATTTATTTACTATTGGACTTTTTAAATGAATTTCTAAGCATGTAATGTGACTTTTTTTTTTAGTTCCTATGGTCAGTGATTTCATGCGCTGGGGTTTTTGTGTGAGCTTCTGTCTGTGCTGAAAGAGGAAATTGTCAAAAGATAACAGCGTAACTAATAATACAGGACTTGTTGAATTGCAGACAGCAAAACAATAACTTAGCTACTTCATGGTACTAGAATAGCAGCATACCCTACACTGGTGTTTCCGGACCTGGGGGTATGCAAGCACTTGTAACAGGGTACTTTCAATTTTAAAAGAAGGTGAAATTGAAATTTAAATGAAAGTGTTGGTTAGTCTTGGTTGTACATTTTATATCCTTAGT